CTGGCTTGAGTTTTAAGCCACCAGGTCCAGGACGCGAACCACGATCGACTACGTGGGAGTCCAGCGACATAGCCATTACGCTAACTGCTGGTTCCCCAGGAGGTACTTTTCTATTGCTAGTTTACTAGATTTGTTTTTCTTTGTTTCGTTTTGTTTAATCATTAATAGGTATTGAATTTTAGCAAATGCTCTTTCGGGTCTACTGAAACAATATGTTTTCTCCATTAATAAGTTGAGGAAAATTATATTAATGTACTTTATCGCATAACCCTGTCTTGTAATTCTTGGGTAAATCTAACTTAGTCATTTATGATTATGATAATATAGATAGAAAAAATTCTAATTACAAATATTTTATTCAGCATATTATATTGATGTTCATCAATGATATTGATTGAATTTTCCTCTGAAACAGTAATTTGTATACTTATGATATCAAAGTAATACTGGTTCCTAGAGTGCTCACTTTTTATCAACTCCTTATCAACTCTTTGAAAAATAATTTGCAATATTGACATGATCTTTTCCTTGAAAACTTTGTAGGACTCATATATAATACACACAGTCTTTGTCTTTATGTGCAAGAATATTTTAAAACTGATTTAATTTCTTTCCTTTTTTTTAGTTTTTGCTATAGGGCATGTGCACTAACTGGCGAGACAGAGAGAGAGAGAGATGAAAAATGAGAAATAATCCCTCCAGGGTAATGGCCACAATGAACTCCTTTGTTCTCCATTCTCCTCTTGGGATATTGGACACATATGCACATGTGCCTTCCTTGAGCGAAGCAGGCCAACCGGACTGCAGCCCTTTTTTTTTTTTTTTTGGAGAGATTTTTCACTGTAGGGCGCGTGCGCTCGCCAGACAGACAGAGAGACAGAAAGCGAGAAATCACCCCCCAGGGGGGATGGTCACGCTGCAATCCTTTCTCCTCCATTCTCCTCTCGGGATCTTGGGCACGCACGCACACGCGCCCGGCGTGAGTTTTAAGCCACCGGGTCTGGGACACGAACCGCGGTCGACTACGTGGGAGTCCAGGGACATAGCCATTACGCTAACTGCTGGTTCCCTGCCTTCCTTGATTTTCATCCACTGGGTCCAGGACTCAAAATGTGGAATGGGTTATTTGAGAACGACCTCCTTAACCTCCATGTCACCTGCTGGTCCTGCTCTAATTTCCTCAATTACCTTATTAACAAATTTTTCAGATAGACTGCTTTTTTTTTTTTGGTCTAGAGATGTTTACTATAGGGCATGTGCACTCTCTGGAGACACAAAGAGAGACAGAGAGAGGAAAGTGAGAAACCACCACCCAGGGGGATGGCCACACTGCAATCCCTTCTCCTCCATTCTCTCGGAATTTTTGCCACGCATGCACACACACAGTGTCAGGCCACTAGGTCCAGGACTTGAACTACAATTGATCATGTGGGAGTCTAGCATCTTAACCACTATGCCACCTGCTGACCACTGCAGGTAGTTTTTAATGTGCTATTTTTTATTTTTTATTTCTTATCATTTTAGTTTTTCTGTATGCATATTTATTTCCATGTTATTAGTAATACAGAGTACCTCTCATTTCTTCTACTTACTCAGTCTTTTTTTTTTTTTTTTTGAGAGGTTTTTGCTATAGGGCATGTGCGTTTGCCAGAAATACAGAGAGAAACAGAGAGACAGAA